TGGGAGCCATCAAATGAACAAAAAAAATGGAATGACTTAACAAAACTACATACGGAAATGGAAGTATTAAACGAATAAAATACATACGAGTACATATACATGTATTAAACGAAGTATTTACGAATTATGCTCTTTTCAATGATTATAGACGGATCATAGATTGATGGAGAGAGGGAGGGCTACCGCAGTAAAGAAAAACTAGCTGTGAATTATGGTATTCTTCTCCAATTTGATTATTTGCTTGGACGAAAAAACACCATTACTTAATTACCGAAGAAAATCCCATTATTTCTTCAAGAAGGAATTTAAAAATTAAAGGGTAAATACAATTTAATATCCAAACCTTTTATTTTAAACAATATAATAGCCAAACCTTTTCGAAAACAATCTAATATCCAAATCGTCAACTTTCTGTCTGTTTGACCGTTAGTTGACACTTCAAAAAAGTTCGAAGTACGACACTTCATCAATATCTGTTGGGGGAATGAGCATGGGCCAGCCCAGAAGGGTAAAGCCCAAGAGTGGTTACAAGGGACTGGGGGCATGGGCCCAACTAAGGGGACAGAGAAAGCCCATGAAGGCAGGGACATTGGGCTGAAGGGCGTCCAGACTTGACCTGGGCGGCCGAAGACAGCATGAGGGACAGGTGGGACCAGGTCCCTGGCGAAGGGCGCGTGAGACAAAGGCAAACAACGGTCGGAAGTGTACGAAAAGCTGAACAGGTGATGTCACGCGCCTTCGATCTCTGACCAGTGTGTCAGATGGTCGAGGCGCATGAGCAAGAGGAGTACGATGCATTTATGGCGGGTCTGACACAGGGCGAGAGCGACGTGTACCGGTCGATCTCGCCCCGGGTATAAATAGTCGAGTAGGTAAACCTCATTGACTCAGTTTTGGCTTCTCTTACTAGAATCGTTCTATCACTTCTCTCTCTAATAAGTAGTTTCTGACTTGAGCGTTGGAGTGCTAACGGACCAACTAGGTCCGCAAGGTGCTTGGGTGAGTGCAGGAAGGAAGGCCGCGCGGGGAAGGAGGGCATCCGAGGCGTGAAGCACGCGAGGGAGGTTACCAGGTATAAACAATATCCATCGATATCTTCTCTGAAAAACCACCAACATGTCGTAGTTCCTAACCCGAGAAGTCCATGACTCCACCATGATGGTATAGAATATCTAAATATTCAGTCATCTGCAATGCCAAAACAAGAAACAAAGTTGTATTGTGACAATTTCCCCTAAACAAAGCTTTTTTGAAGTGTCAACTAACGGTCAAACGAACGGAAAGTTGACGATTTGGATATTAGATTGTTTTCGAAAAGGTTTGGCTATTATATTATTTAAAATGAAAGGTTTGGATATTAAATTGTATTTACCCAAAATTAAAAAATGAAAGGTTCCCAAGGGCCGGTTAACAATAAATCAAAAGCCCATCTAATACCGCTGCGTTGCGGCTCAACCTTCCTAGTATATCATTAATTCTATTGCCTAGCATATCCTTGAGATACCTCCTTACCAGAAGAATATATGTATCCTCATATTGTAATTTCCATTCACACTCACACCAGGACGAAGCTGTACAACGCCGGCCGGGGGAGAGTCGGCGCCGGCGTTCTCTGCGTTCAAGAGTCAAGCAATTGACCGTACACATATATCGTCGATCGCCTGGATCATGTTTTTCCATTTGAGTACTATATTGATCTGTTGCATCATTTAGTTGTCCTTTCTTTTATTTATTCATTTGAATATCCTTATCAATAACACAACGTGCCCTAAATAGGATGGTGGTGAGTACTCATGTATTGATATGTTGCATCATTTAGTTGTCCTTTTTATTTATTTATTTATTTGTGTAAACTAGGTTGAATTAATATCCTTATCAATAACACAACGTGCCCTAAAGAGGATGGTGGTGGGTACATTTTCAAATAATTTATCTTTCACAATGTCAAAGAGGTATTAGAGCCTCTAATTAAGATGCATCGAAATTGTGATGTACGCGAAATTTATGACCGACATGTAATGATTGAAGAAGATCTAAGACGACATATTGAACTCATACCGTTTCAGCTAGATTGCATATGCTTTTAAATTCAATGCAAAACATGTTAAGATTAATGTACTAGTTACTTATTGGCAATGAATATCAAACTCAAGACATGCCAATTTCAGAAACCATTGCTTAACTAGTATTGCCCACCAAATATATAAACATATAAATGATGATATATTTGATATGAAGATAGTTGAGAAGTTTGCAGGATTAAAGAGAATTGTTAAGATTTTTAGGAAAATGTTTGTGTCAAGAAAGCATCAGATGTTTTTGATTATTGTTAGTATAACAATTTCTGAAATTTGCATTGTTGCTACCTGTCACCACTGCAAGTGTTGAAATTTTTTTTTTTTTGTTATGAAATCCATGAAGAACCCATTTCAAAATCGGATAAGTGACGTATCATGGTGAGTGAGAAGTGGTCAGTCTCGTCGTTACTTTCTAAGGTCTTTTCCCTAAGAAAATCCTTACTAACACGTTATTATGATTTCTTTTCCTTAGATGAAAGTCATTCTCGCTTTCATCCTCAAAACCTTATCCCATCATTAACTTATATAAGTTCTCTACTTCTATCCTTAACCAGGGGCGCACCTAGGGCTTGGAAAGGGGTGTCGTCCGACACCCCTCCGTCCGAAAATTTTGTGAAGGGCCTTCATTTTATCGGTATAAAACAATTTAATTTGAGACTTTCGACACCGCTCTAATAATTATAAGCGACACACCTTCATTATACGAAAATAGTTTTAATGTTATAAATTTATTCATCATAATTAGTAATTAACAATAATAAGTCAAATCAAATAAGCAGGCTTGTTTGAAGTAACCCACAAACCAAATTAACTTGTCAATTTGTAGTTAATAGGTGAATTTCGTAGATTTTAAGGGAGATTGTGGTTTGATTTTGGTTAATTTGGTAGAACTAGTGAAAAAAATGCTAATTATATTACTTTAGGCATACTTTGTTTTGTCTAAAATGTCAATTGGTAGATCGTGGTTTACTATATTTGATTGTAAACTAATTTATTTGAACTTTGATTTTAGACGTGGGTCGATTCTCTTTGGTTGAGTGACTAATTTATGAATGATTATGTGGTTATGTATATTAGGGGTGGGAAACGGTGCGGTCCGGTCCAGACCCGACCATAGATACGGTCTGTGGTCCAGACCGAGAGGTTGGAACACAGACCATGGACCAGACCATATACTATACGGCCCAGACCAGACCACACCTGTGCGGTGCGGTCCGGTATGGTCTGGACCAGACAGACCATGTTAAAAAAAATTAACTCTTGTTCGCCCTCCAACCCTTCACCGGTATCTATAAAAAAAATCTAGTGACCAACATGCTAGTGAAACAAAAAAATTGTGATCGTATTAAATGAGAAGAAATATGAGGATAGAAGTGGGTTTTTTAAATTTTCAAATAGCCTTATTTCCCTATTCCTCTTTGTGCTACCGCTTCTCTCCTCTCTCGAGTGATCCGAATGTTCTCCCAATTGATAACCTTTTTGATGACGTCGAGGTAATTTCGAACCACTAAGATAGTCGCATATCTCTCAATAATTTTCCTTATCTCATCAAGGTGAACGAATTTTTTGTAGTGTTTAATTTTTATCGACTCCATAGTCTAGACATTATATGTGAATATTATTTGTGAGTCTTTCTTATTTTTGTGTGGTACTTTGATAAGGAGATAACATATAAGCGATCATTTTGCAATTTGTTGGCTCTCAACTAGATGAAGAATCAACTAACTTTGTTCTTCAAATACACATATGGAGGTTCAATTTAGTGTTATTTTTGTCCAAGGTAGTAGGTAGTGTGTCGCGGTCTGTTACGGTTTACTGCGGTAGACCGCGGTCCAGACCACTTCAGACCACGCACTAAAGGAGGAGACCGCAAACCAGACCAGACCATAGTTCTGGTCTCACGGTCCAGACCAAACCATACGATACGGTCTAAACTGCGGTTTCCCATACGGTTTGGTCTGGATTCCCAGCCCTAATGTATATAAAAAAATGTTTGATTTGCAACATATACGATGAATGTATTTAAAAAAAATTCACGATATAAAAAATCGTCGTAATTCGTAGTAAACATGACGTTGTCAACTTATAAATGAATTTATAGTAATTTCTATTAAATTTTTGTTTATTTATTAATTATAATTTTTTATTGACGACACCCCTCTTCAACAATCCTGGGTCCGCCACTGTCCTTAACTCATACAAGTTCTCTACTTCTATCTTTATCTCAAACACATAATACTAGAGAATCAACGCATTACATCTCGCCGTCTGGTGTCCCTACTTGATATGCCAAATGCCTTATTTTATTTTATGTTAGACCTGCCTACATTAAATTCCTCAATGCGCCACCGAATGATACATAGACACTTTTCCATTCCAACAATGTTTTTACCCAAAATATCGACTTAAGTTAAAAATGAAATATACCTAGCTACCTCATAGCGAATTTTAATGAATATCAAAGTGAAAAGTAGTTTGTTTTCATGGAGGATTTGACCAACATATGTCCAATGGGTTGAATCTGATTGAGGTTATTCTCTTCACACTTTTAGTGATTTGGACATTCCTGATACTTGGAGCAAATTAATGATCACTCGTCTTCCAATCACTTACCCCAACTTCATCTTCTCGTAAAAAATAACAACAAAAAACAGAGGAGCTCCAACATGACAGACAGAAAACACCCCTAGGTTTCATCCCAATGATGGTGAGCTTTCTATATGTTGTTGCCTCATTTCACCAAGGAGAAACATATTCCTAAAGAATATTATATGCCTATATGGGTTTCTCCTTCGACAACAGCAACAACAACACCATCTAATAACATCAAATCTTACCTTGTAATCTCCATCCATCCATTCTGCATTCGTTCATCCCATGCATGCATATATAAGTAGTATCACAACCTCGCATTATCGCTCGCGCTGAACTCTAAATTCTAAACCATAAATCATAACTAGTAATAATTAGTATTTCATCGTCAGTCATGGCTAACGTCAAGCTCATTTCCCTCCTCCTCGTAGCTTCCTTCGCCATCATCATCCAAACCGCCATCTCCGGCGACCCCGACATCCTCACCGACTTCATCGCCCCTCCAAACGCCACCGTCGACGGCTCGTTCTTCACCTTCACCGGCTTCGGCTTCCTGGTCAACGGGACCCAGCTCCCGGCCGACAAGTTCAAAGTAGTGAAGGCCACCATGGCCGAGTTCCCGGCCCTCAACGGCCAGAGCGTCTCCTACGCCACGCTCCTCTTCCCCAACGGGACCGCCAACCCTCCCCACACCCACCCACGCGCCGCCGAGCTCCTCTTCGTCGTCGACGGCGAGCTCCAGGTCGGGTTTGTCGACACCACCGGCAAGCTCTACACCCAGGCGCTCCACGTCGGCGACATGTTCGTCTTCCCCAAGGGGCTCGTCCACTTCCAGTACAACGCCGGGACGAGCTACGCCATCGCGCTGTCGGCTTTCGGGAGTGCCAGCGCCGGCACGGTGTCGCTTCCCGGCACGCTGTTCGCCACCGGCATAGACGACGCCGTCCTGGCTAAGTCGTTCAAGACGGATGTTGGTGTCATTCAGAAGCTCAAGGCTGGCCTTGCCGTGAAGCCCTAATTAGTAAAGGATTAATGATATATCTTAAAATAATTTATTACGTGGCATTTTATTTTACAAAGAATTACGTGGCATATGCTGCAGCGATTTCCGCCATTTTTGTTTGCTTTGTTCTTATCCAACTAGCATTGGGCCCGGCCGTTGGCCGGATTAGCTTTTTTAGTCAATTCAGATTAGCCGCTATTGCTGTTATAATGTTCTGTTATTTATACATAAACACCATAAAATGAAGACACTACCACTTGATAACCCCTGGGAAGGAAGCAACCTTTTGGCTGCTATAGCATTACCACAATCAATTCCGAGATATTTCTGACTTTCTGCCATGAACATGCAGAAGTTGGCAGTTGGTGTCAAGTAACACAAATGCAAGTTGTTGGCATAAAGAACACGGACAGATGCAAGGTGCAGTGGTAATAAAAATACTGGCAATAAGTTGTTGCCACTTGCCACCATAAACACATAAAGCCTTCTATTTTGAACTTCTAATCCCATTTTCATAGGACAGTGACAGCCAAAACTATAGTACAATTTCAAAGTCTGAATTTGATAATTACCAAACCATTCACAAACGCAATATGCTCCTATCCAAAGATGGCACAACTACTACATGCTCCCAAGAAAAACACAGAAAATCAAATTTGTCGCAGTGATAAATAAAACTATGTATAATATAAATTTCAAAACTGATAAGAACCAAGCCATTCACAAACACCCCATAGTTTGGAAAACACAACTACTCATAATATCCAAGCCTCCAAGTGCCTGCACCATTCTATTAAGCACCATCATGGTTGTCTCCATCTCATAAACATGAAGCAGTTTTGGTGTCATTTGCAATTTGACCAGATGGAGTCCCAACACAAAGGCAAGTTCAGTGGATCAATGTAAGACAAAAATTAGGAAGGGAACATAGAAATAAGAAGCAAAAGTGAAGACAATACTAAATAACCTCTGGCTAAGAATGAGGCTTCAGGTTGCAGCATCATGTTTGTAAAAAATTGAGGTTCCTGCTGCCACAAACAACAAATGTAGTATGCCCCTATCCAAAAGTAACACAAATTATACATGCTGCCAAGAAAAACACAGAAAATCAAACTTGTAACAGTGACAAACAGATGAGCCATAAACTGGTGATATAATAAACTCACACAAATACATGCTATTTTAACTTGAATAACGATTCTCTTTGGAAAATGACAAAGCAACCATATACAATCTAAAAGTTCAAATACTGTAAAAACCAAACCATTCACAAACATCCCATAGATTGGAAATCACATTACTTAAAATACAGTTCACAACGTGGCCCTTAACTACACAAAGCTTCCAGGCTCCACCAATATTCACTTCCTTAGGGTCATAGTTGTCCCCATGCTTCCTTTTGTGCCTGGTTAAGGTTTTTCCTCAAAGAACCTCGGGACTGGGCGTAGTCTTGCTAGTTTCCTCAAGATAGGAGTTGTACTTATGTAGAGATAACTTGTAATCTAGCTCAATTGTCACAATCAAATTAGAGCGATAAGATAAATTGAAATGATGAAATTAAGCTGATACCATCTTTTTGCTATATGAAATGTAAGTTCCACGGATATATTTACCACTCACCCCAAGTGTATCATGCTCCATACTAATCACATAGCTTGAGGGTTCAAGAAGTTAATCTGAGTAAGTTTAAAAGGTAATTTAAGCCTCAGGTTCACAACTTGCTGGGTTTGCGAGAATAAGCTAAACCGATTAGTTTGTTCACACTAATCAATTTAAGTTTCATGTTCACAACATGGAATTCATCATATGTACAATAATAAAAACAACCATTATGTAGTAAACAAAGCATATTAGAGAAGCTGGATATAAAGACATGATTCATAAATATGAAATTGATGTAATTAACCACTCAGTGCAGATAGTGTAAAAAATGCCACTTTAACATAAGTTCCACGCATTATGATCAGAGACATCACTCATATAATACTACTCATGCTCAAGAAACTTGAAATATTAACTCTATAATTTGTCAAGTATGCATCTGTAATATAATCCATTGGTAAGATGCATTGTGTTGGAAGGTAATTATTAAGAGTTCCTTTGAGAGTCTCATCTCATAACACCAAATAAGCCTAACTTTATGCATAATTGTGGAGGAAAAATATATGAATCTTCTGCACTTATTGCGAGCAGGATTTCCCATCGGCCACTCTGTTCTGGAATCTTGTAATTCAATCACAATTAACCGTTTCAGTTCTCCCATTATTGTCATTAGTAATTAAGTGGTTTTAGATTATTGGTGGTTAGTGATGAGAAGTACCAAATGGAAGAGACAGGGTAAAGGATCCAAAAGAAAACGACTGAGAAGTTAGGAAAAGGTTAAGAATCACATAGTGACCTGAGATGTTTATCTGGATTGTTAAATTGCATCAACTAAAGCATTGTAGAATGACTCAATAGCAGGGATAAGCAAAGGGAAAGACCCATGTTAGTATGGCAGTTAAGCTAATAGAAAAAAAAAAAGAATCTTCATACTTTGAACACCTATTCTTATCTTCATAGTAAAAATTGGCTTGAGACAAACTAATCAGCTCTCAATTGACCTTAACATAAAGATAACTATTTATGATCTAAAATTAGTATTGACCTCATCACAAAACAAACAATTGAAAATTGACAACAAAGTGCACGGGTTCATCAGGTTCATCGTGATTTACCTCACGAAATAAGTCTGCTAAGTCGAACAAAACTTAAAAGTATGCCCATTTTATGCTACAATCTTAAAAGTTCTCAAGCTAGCAAACATAAACTTCCTATCAGTATAAGGTAAGTGAAAGGCAGAGAGAGACACAGTTGGGACTGAAACAACACGTATTCCATAAATCCTTCATGTCACCAATACAAACTTCCTTCTCATCCTAGTTAAAGTAGCAAGATGACCATTCACGCTATTGAGGGGGGCATTCAACTTGTCAATAACTCAAAATAAGAAGCATCGCAACTAAGAACAGCTCTTATGTACATAAAATCAATGGTAGACAAAATTGACATTCACTTACCACCCTCAAGACACGCCCTCTCCGTGTTGAATTCAGCTAGTGTTGACCTTCAAGCGAGACATATTGCCCTTCCTTTCCGTAACAAAGACACAATGGAACACCCAAATCAAATAAGTTACAATTTCAGTGCATTTATGACATACAATCTCAGAAAAACATCAAACTAAGAACAGAATGAATATATTAGATCGAGCAGTAGCAGAGTTATAATCTAATGGAGGATTTTTTGGTCTAGAAGAAGTGTCAACGCAGCGACGTTTCATTGGCATTGCTGGAATTGCCGGACTAAATTGATGATAGGAATTAATACGGTATGAAACTGGAGTAAAGCACACATTATTCGAACTGAACAGTTAACATTTGGATAGATTGCCCAAAAGAAAAAGAGAGGGGACATTGCACATACAGACTCTCAAAGCAAAATAGAAAGCTTACCTAAGGGAATCTACAGAGGAGAATACATAGATTTCAGGCAGGCGCAGTAGCAGTACGGTGGGGAGCGATCTGTAGACCCTACGAGGGGAAATATATAGCGAGAGCGGGAGGGAGGCGAATGGAATCTCTTTTGGGAGGGCGGTGGGGAACGACTTGTCGCCCCCGGCGATGCGAGACAGACTGCAAAAAGCGAGAGGAGTCTGGAAAAGTTTTTGGGGGTGTGGAAGACCGACATAGATGGTAACAAAAAAAAACAATAAGAAAATCGAAGAAGTACAGAGGGCGACGATGGGGAATTTCGGGATCAGATTGAGAGTGGCGGCATACATGTTCTGAGCTGGGGTGAATAGAGGCGGATTAAGGCTCCGAGAATACTAAAAGGATTGAGTAATTGGTGTATGGATCGGTTGGGAGAGAAACGGAGAGAGAGAAGTGGTGGGATTTTCGGGCTGGAAGGTAGAATAGAAAGCGAGGAACAGATGGATTTCCAAAAGACGGGGAAGCCTTCCGAAGTGTGCGGTATGTCGAGGAAGGGCTGACGTGGCCAATGCAATTTTTTGACATTGCCTTATAGTATTTTGTAGATAATGAATGAATAAGCTACCCAATGAACGAAACGGTAGCGTTTCTTTCAATGAGCTATACCTTTTTTGTTATGGGCTTTTGGAACTTATTTTTGGGCTTCTGTTAATGCAATGGCCCTTTGTCTTTTAGACAACTTGACCCGGACCATAACATACATATCTGATTTTTTTGGGTCAAAGATATTCCGTAAGGAGCAAGATACAAGACCAAACCCGCTTTGATAGACTGATACCATATCATAAAACAGTTGTTCTCAATAACTCGAGTTGTTGGGAGAGGTTCCAATAACCAGTTGATCCAATGTCAAGAACCAGTTGATCATAATAACTCGAGTTATTGGGAGATGTTCAATCGTGAATCATATACTGTTTACTGACATTATCTTTCATAATATCTTAAAAAGGGGTCTTAGAGTCTCTGATTAAGATGCATCGAAATTGTGATGTACGATGGGATTTAAGACCGACACCAATGATTGAGTTTGTATGTAAAGCTACTGTTACGAGGCATAAATTCAAAAAGATTTAAGACGACATTGAGCTCATACCAGTTTAGTTTAGCTCAATTTCATATGCTTTTAAATTCAATGCAAAACATGAAAAATTAATAGAGTTAATTCCACTAACAAGCTCAAAATATACTAAAAGGGTCATTTGTGTCCTAAACTATTAAATATGACGAATCTAGCACAAATTATACACGTTTCGTGATATTTAAACTAGTCAATATGACAAATTTGGCACAAACCACATAAATGTTGAATAGATTTTTCTTAAATACTAACTGTCAATGCCAGTCAACATTAACGAAAAAATAGTTCAAGCCAGATTTGTTATATTAAATAGTTTATAACACAAATGACACTTTTTTAATAGTTTAAACTTTCTAGTGAAATTAGGACAAATTAATACTAGTTACTTGTTGGCAATGAATATCAAACTCAAGACATGCCAATTTC